ATAACCAGATTAAGAATATCTTCTCACAGGCTAAAAATTGAAACTGGAAGATATATTGGACTAGAGAGAGATAAAAGAATATGTAAAAAATGTTATTTGAATGTAGTGGAAAATGAGGCCAAACAAAATTATTGTTTGTTTAGAATGGCCTCCCGCCTCATTGAAATGACCTCTCCTAATCTAAATTTGGACATCTATCAATCATAACTTTACACATTACAAAACACCCACGGCTACTAAAAAAATCAATAGTTTATTCAGATGGAAGATGCTGGGTCTTGTTTTCCGATATAAAAAGAACTTAAGACTAAATTCAAAATCGAATATTTTGAATAACTTCATATATTGAATATAGCATCACAAGATAGTTTTAAGCTTGCTTGCATTTTTTTTAATAGATAGAATTATTACATTTGAAACGTTTACAATCAACTTAAAACAGATCCCTTATCTTTAAGATATTTCTCTTCGTAATAGGGAAAAGATACTTCATCAAGCTTTTTTTTCTTTCATTTTTATTTCTACAAATAGGGAAAAGGTTACCTCAGTCTAAGATAACTTGATAGACGAGGGTTCATGGAGAGTTATCATGTCACCCAGGGGGAAGGGTTAGGGAGTCAAGATTAGGTGACAGAAAATCCACGTGACCGTTAACGAGGTTCGCTCCTGAGCTTTTGAGCAGATTTTTGTCTTAACCTTTACTTAAAAAATTCTGCATAATGTTTTAGTTCTTGCAATAAATTTGGATTCTACAATACTATTTAAACGATATTCAGTTAAAACTCCATGATTAAATTCCATACCAAAAGCATTAAATGAGGAACTATATCTTGTGGCGGAAGGATTTTTAGAAGAAAATGATAATTTTTTTTCTCTTTCAAAGTATTTAAAATATGTTAATGTGGGCAGATTTATATATATGAAATATATTTATTACATTTTCTCATTTTGAATAAATGTTTCTATTCCAAATAAATTAACTATGTCATTGAGAATAAAAGTTAAGCTAGTTTGTGTGCGCAGGTGGATTGAGTTGGTGAACACTTTCTTTGCTTTACTATTGGCTATGACTTCTCATTGGCTATTGTCATAATGAAATATCAAATCAGATCGTTTCTTTTGTGATAAAAGCGAGCCAAATCTAAAATTCAAATTACTGCAGATCCGGCGATTCCTGAGTGTAGACTTTACCACCTCGCACAAGGTATTTTATTCAATGTTAATTGTCAATAACTTTGGTTTACAATTTTTCTTAGTAAATAAACGACTAAGATTATGAGCAATAAAGTTTAATATGTATTTACTTATCATATGTAATGCATTACTATGTATAAATTGTATACATTTACTTAAATATTTTTTTGTAGAATCACCTTGTTGATATGTGAATAAATATAGAAACCACCATCATTTCCATCTTTATATCACTCGGTCACAAATGGCGTCGCCGGTTTTTACAATCAAAGGTGATTCTTGTGTGAGCGAGAAGGTCTACAGGATTCAGTGAGCAGTCATCGGTAAAAACAAGTCACCTGTGAAATTCCAGTACTACCGTTATTTTGATCGACGTACCTTAAAACAGCGGACTTTGACGACAAAGAAATTGAGACAACAAATCAAAACTCTACAAAAAGAACTCGACAGACGTATAGATGAGGACAATGAAGAATATACCAGACCCAAAACAACTTACTTAACGCCAGTCCGAAATGTACCAAAATTCAGCGGGAATGAAGAAAAGGACGATATTCACGTCGATGACTGGATAGAGGAAGTTGAACATTTATCAATAGCCGCCGTATGAATAGAGAGGAAAGTATCGATTTTATATATTCGAATTTAAAAGGATCAGCAAAAGAAGAAATTAAATACAGATCATATGAGGAGAGAAACAATCCAACCAAAATTCTGCGCATTTTGAGCGATACATTCGGAAACAAAGAAGGAATAACAGTTCTACAGAGAAATTTCTTTGAGCGAAAACAGATGGAGGGAGAATCTTTACGTGAATACAGTTACGCATTGTTGAACCTCATAAAGAAAATAACAACGAAAAACACAGATGTTATTCCGAATCCAGATCTGACCCTTTGTGAACAATTTGCGCAAAATGTGATTGATATTTCATTACGCCGAGAATTGAAACGACTCATTAGACAACAACCGAAAATGCATTTTCTAGACTTCCGCGACGAAGGAAAAAACCCGAACAAAAGTTTCAAAAGAGAAACATTCAACAGAAAACTCAGTAACGGAATCTACAAAGACGTCCGAGAAAACTAATCAAGAAATTGAAAAGTGCCTAGAACTCATAAAACGACAAGAACAAAACATCGACAATTTAACAAAACTATTAGAACAACAGACTGTGTCAATACCCAAAGAACAATACCGATCATCATATCCACAATTACGCCGCCGTTGCTACAACTGTAACAGCGAGAATCATCTCAGAAGAGACTGTCCACGCAACTTTTCTTCAAGTTATCAGCAGTCGGAAAAATAGATCCTGCTGATGAACAGAGTCCGACATCAGTAGGAAATAAAGAGGACTCTAACTGTGTCAATCGTATTCTTGGTCCGAGCCCTACAGTCAACATAAAATTGTTTGGAATTGAAATCAACTGTTTATTAGACACTGGATCCATGGTGACAACAATTACGGAAAGTTTTTATAGAAATAACATTGAAGCGATGTGCAAAAACATTAAGAATGATGTGAAATTAAATTTGAAAGCAGCAAATGGAATTTCTATTCCTTATATTGGATACATAGAAGGAATTGAAAGAACCTTCAGTGTAATCAAAGACCGATGTTATTGGCCTGGGATGTTTAACGATGTTAAGGGATATTGCAAGAATTGTGAACGCTGCTGTGTAGCCAAATCCGAAAACTTACAGATTAAACCAGCGATGAATCATTTACTAGCCAATCGACCCCTGCAGATTCTAGCCATAGATTTTACAGTGTTGGAGCCATCGAAAGGCAAAGAAAATGTGTTGGTAATAACGGATGTTTTTTACCAAATTTACACAAGCAATAGCAACTCGGTCACATTAAGTTTGTATTCCTATTTTTCCATGCAGCCTGCACACAGAGTTATTCTGTACCGTGAACTGTTTCATGCTGGTCCTATATTATATTTTAATTAAACTATCATGAATTCTATCATTATATTTGATAAATATAGCAAATATGTTGCGAAAATCCAGAAAAAAATAGCCCTAACTTTTGCTTAAAATTAGCACAATTTTAGTATTATCTAAAAATTAACATCACAGACCCCAACTTTTTATTCTCTTTTCTGAATAATATAAGATTTTTTTAACCATTCTACTCAAATTCAGTAAAATGTCATTACTTTGAAATGATTTTATTGCTTGATAAAATTTTTAATGCCAGAAAAATGATATTTTTGAGTGCAAAAAGGTCAAATAATTAAACATGCGAAGTAATTTAAAAATTTTTTGTTGTCACAAATTTTAATGTATCTATTCAAGATGAAATAAGACTGTGTTTGTTCCCATAATTTATTTGAACAAAAAAATACTGGAAGAAAAACTTTAAAAATTGAATCATGTGTAAGATGTATTTATAGTGCAAAAAGTCAAACTAAATGCTCTGTAGCACCATTTTTTGTTTTGATTTTTAATTAAGCTATGTGTATATTCTAAAAATATACTTGATAAAAAATTCTCATTACTTTTGACGACAGGATCCAACCTCCTTAAAGCGCCCTTTATACACCAGCAATTTTTTTTACAAAATATTTCCAAATATTGACATCTCTTTCTTTTTTAACACAAATTCACTTACTATATAATCCCTTGTATCACTGCCTTTTTTGTCATTACCATTCACAGTATTCAGATACTAATACATTTTTTAACGAAGAAAGGAGACAGCTTTCTTGAGTTAGGAGAAGATGGCGGAAGAATTTCTTAACATGCAAGTTTATATCATACGTTAAGAAACGGGAATAAATTTTTGAAAATATCTAGTACTAGTTTGAATGTAAATTAGAGAACGTAAAGTTACAGAACGAATCTTCCGTTATATATTTAAAATTCTATCTAATATGTATTGAACAAAATAGATATAAAAAAAAAGTAAAGGAAAATTTTTAATTTTATCAAACATGATAATAAACTACATTAATATTTTAGGAATTCGAACATATCCTGTCATTCATAATTATAACTTTTATTAAATAATTTTTTTTATGTTGTTTTACGTCCCATTCGACAATTTTCACTCATATAGAGACGTCACCATATAAAATAAAAAATTAAATAATTAAACGTATACGTAATGTAGAATTAAATAACAGAATCTTCAGATACATTATTTATGTTTTTTATTTTGTATACCAACACCTTTGAAAATCTTTTTTTTTATTTATATACAAAGGAAAGATAATAATATGCAGACTCCCTCATCCCCCCAAAAAACGCTACCAGCGCTTGATGACTTCGAGGTCGAATGGGATTTGTTGGGAGAGGAATGGTCTCTTTTTGCCAATCTCAAACGATGGGTAAGTAATTCATATGTATGTTATACTGGTCTAGACCGATCATTTTGTTGTTGTGTTATAAATTTCATGTACCTTAAAACAACTTATCTAAAAGTAAAAAAAATCACAATTTCACCTCTAATTTTAATTACGAGTTCCCTAAATTGAAACGATTATTTTACATTGTGTGTGTGTGTGTCTGAACAGGACAAAATATTATGTTGATGAAATGTTGGGGTACTATGTCTATCTGCACGCTAACATGCAATCCATATGAAGTCAACAAAGGACTCACCCATCAATACACCCATGGATGGCAAATCCATATAGCTTTATTTTGTCATATCTGAAATTTGAAGAAAAAAAATTCACTGACAAAGAACTATTACAATATGATATTTCAGTCGGAAGTGTTTCTCAATACATAGATAAAAGAGAATACCCATCGACATGCCAGATTTGATTGGGTCCGATTGAATGGTAAATTCTCAGGATTCACCTCCTCCTTCTGATTTTAGTGCCTTCGGGGTCCAATTTCCTTAGTAATTTCATGACAACATCCCTATAGAAAAAAATCTTTGGATCGTGAAAAAGGCAAGAATAACCTTCATAAAAATTGCTGCAGGGGATTTTGAAAATAACGATAAGCAGATCAAACATCATCTGACATAATTGCTGTGTATAATTTAAGATTTCAGAAAAAAAAAATACTAGAAACTGATAACCAAATAAAACGTCACATAATACTCCGTATTATACTGTACATGTATATGCAGCATTGGAAAAAAAATGGTTTAAAGGTCGGTAAAAACGAAATATTTGAGCAGTATGTTAATGTTTTAGAAACCAGTTCATTTTTTAACTCTATCATAAGCCTTTTAATGCATTTTATCACCTATGCTAGTAGTCCGAAATATCTGACATTTTCCAAGATTTTGATATTTTACGTCTTGGCACGTAAAATATCAAAATCGTGAAAAAAAAAAAAACAACAAAACGTCAAATATTTCGGACTGCTATGCTAGTACCAATGGATGAATTCCAGGTGGGATATCTGCGTCCTTTTTTAACCTTATAAAACAAAAACTTTTCAAATTATCCGACATAACTATGTGTTGATACGTGACTACCCCTTTTCTCCTGCTTTTAGAGCAATACTACTATATTTTCGTCCATCAGTTTATTTTGCTTTATCACATGATTATTTAATTGCCCTTCTGCATCCTTCACATGGGTTTTATTATACTCAGGTGAACGTTAAGACTCTTGTTTGCTTATAAAAACACATTGCGTTTGTACGGTCATGATTTTCTAACGTATATTTTTGCAGCTGAAATTTTAAAAAAAACCTGTAGATGACCTATAGTTGAATATACTCTGGAAGAGTCGAGATTTCTTTCTTTCTTTTTTTTTGGGGGGGGGGGGGGCAATTGTTATTCTCGTATACTAGAAGAAAGAAAGCATTTAAGCATTTCTTGTCTATATATTTAAAATATAAATGTTGAATGAATAATTTTAAAAACGATACATAAAAATGAAAATGTAATGAAAGTACAATGGATGGACAAAGTATAAAGTTTTATTTACCTTTGGACGGCGTAAACTTTTCTTCGAAGAATGGATGTTAAAGATCTGTACCCAACAGTCTCGGGAAGATCAGGTAATAGATTCTGAGAAAAAAAATGTGTTATGTCATTTTAACATATGATTATTGTTTTTTTTTCTTTCCACTTGTATACGTAATCACAATGTTGGTATTAACTTAGATGTGAAAATGATACCTTACGTAAAATCGTTTTTGATTTTGGATCGCTACCATCTAAACAAATTTTATTTTTCGAAAAGAAGTTGGATTGTCTGTAATAGTTAAGCAGTTAATGTTTCATTCATAACTTAGCATACTTTAATTTTACCTCTATAACTTGTTTGGTGACATTATGCGGCACACTTGATGTGTTCCGACGAGAAGGCACACCTAATCTTTTCAGTCGCTTGCCTGTTGCATTGACGCTGTTAAGTTAAATACACACTATTAAAAATAAACAAATAAAACCCAAACCTTAAAACAGCGGACTTTGACGACAAAGAAATTGAGACAACAAATCAAAACTCTACAAAAAGAACTCGACAGACGTATAGATGAGGACAATGAAGAATATACCAGACCCAAAACAACTTACTTAACGCCAGTCCGAAATGTACCAAAATTCAGCGGGAATGAAGAAAAGGACGATATTCACGTCGATGACTGGATAGAGGAAGTTGAACATTTATCAATAGCCGCCGTATGAATAGAGAGGAAAGTATCGATTTTATATATTCGAATTTAAAAGGATCAGCAAAAGAAGAAATTAAATACAGATCATATGAGGAGAGAAACAATCCAACCAAAATTCTGCGCATTTTGAGCGATACATTCGGAAACAAAGAAGGAATAACAGTTCTACAGAGAAATTTCTTTGAGCGAAAACAGATGGAGGGAGAATCTTTACGTGAATACAGTTACGCATTGTTGAACCTCATAAAGAAAATAACAACGAAAAACACAGATGTTATTCCGAATCCAGATCTGACCCTTTGTGAACAATTTGCGCAAAATGTGATTGATATTTCATTACGCCGAGAATTGAAACGACTCATTAGACAACAACCGAAAATGCATTTTCTAGACTTCCGCGACGAAGGAAAAAACCCGAACAAAAGTTTCAAAAGAGAAACATTCAACAGAAAACTCAGTAACGGAATCTACAAAGACGTCCGAGAAAACTAATCAAGAAATTGAAAAGTGCCTAGAACTCATAAAACGACAAGAACAAAACATCGACAATTTAACAAAACTATTAGAACAACAGACTGTGTCAATACCCAAAGAACAATACCGATCATCATATCCACAATTACGCCGCCGTTGCTACAACTGTAACAGCGAGAATCATCTCAGAAGAGACTGTCCACGCAACTTTTCTTCAAGTTATCAGCAGTCGGAAAAATAGATCCTGCTGATGAACAGAGTCCGACATCAGTAGGAAATAAAGAGGACTCTAACTGTGTCAATCGTATTCTTGGTCCGAGCCCTACAGTCAACATAAAATTGTTTGGAATTGAAATCAACTGTTTATTAGACACTGGATCCATGGTGACAACAATTACGGAAAGTTTTTATAGAAATAACATTGAAGCGATGTGCAAAAACATTAAGAATGATGTGAAATTAAATTTGAAAGCAGCAAATGGAATTTCTATTCCTTATATTGGATACATAGAAGGAATTGAAAGAACCTTCAGTGTAATCAAAGACCGATGTTATTGGCCTGGGATGTTTAACGATGTTAAGGGATATTGCAAGAATTGTGAACGCTGCTGTGTAGCCAAATCCGAAAACTTACAGATTAAACCAGCGATGAATCATTTACTAGCCAATCGACCCCTGCAGATTCTAGCCATAGATTTTACAGTGTTGGAGCCATCGAAAGGCAAAGAAAATGTGTTGGTAATAACGGATGTTTTTACCAAATTTACACAAGCAATAGCAACTCGGTCACATTAAGTTTGTATTCCTATTTTTCCATGCAGCCTGCACACAGAGTTATTCTGTACCGTGAACTGTTTCATGCTGGTCCTATATTATATTTTAATTAAACTATCATGAATTCTATCATTATATTTGATAAATATAGCAAATATGTTGCGAAAATCCAGAAAAAAATAGCCCTAACTTTTGCTTAAAATTAGCACAATTTTAGTATTATCTAAAAATTAACATCACAGACCCCAACTTTTTATTCTCTTTTCTGAATAATATAAGATTTTTTTAACCATTCTACTCAAATTCAGTAAAATGTCATTACTTTGAAATGATTTTATTGCTTGATAAAATTTTTAATGCCAGAAAAATGATATTTTTGAGTGCAAAAAGGTCAAATAATTAAACATGCGAAGTAATTTAAAAATTTTTTGTTGTCACAAATTTTAATGTATCTATTCAAGATGAAATAAGACTGTGTTTGTTCCCATAATTTATTTGAACAAAAAAATACTGGAAGAAAAACTTTAAAAATTGAATCATGTGTAAGATGTATTTATAGTGCAAAAAGTCAAACTAAATGCTCTGTAGCACCATTTTTTGTTTTGATTTTTAATTAAGCTATGTGTATATTCTAAAAATATACTTGATAAAAAATTCTCATTACTTTTGACGACAGGATCCAACCTCCTTAAAGCGCCCTTTATACACCAGCAATTTTTTTTACAAAATATTTCCAAATATTGACATCTCTTTCTTTTTTAACACAAATTCACTTACTATATAATCCCTTGTATCACTGCCTTTTTTGTCATTACCATTCACAGTATTCAGATACTAATACATTTTTTAACGAAGAAAGGAGACAGCTTTCTTGAGTTAGGAGAAGATGGCGGAAGAATTTCTTAACATGCAAGTTTATATCATACGTTAAGAAACGGGAATAAATTTTTGAAAATATCTAGTACTAGTTTGAATGTAAATTAGAGAACGTAAAGTTACAGAACGAATCTTCCGTTATATATTTAAAATTCTATCTAATATGTATTGAACAAAATAGATATAAAAAAAAAGTAAAGGAAAATTTTTAATTTTATCAAACATGATAATAAACTACATTAATATTTTAGGAATTCGAACATATCCTGTCATTCATAATTATAACTTTTATTAAATAATTTTTTTTATGTTGTTTTACGTCCCATTCGACAATTTTCACTCATATAGAGACGTCACCATATAAAATAAAAAATTAAATAATTAAACGTATACGTAATGTAGAATTAAATAACAGAATCTTCAGATACATTATTTATGTTTTTTATTTTGTATACCAACACCTTTGAAAATCTTTTTTTTTATTTATATACAAAGGAAAGATAATAATATGCAGACTCCCTCATCCCCCCAAAAAACGCTACCAGCGCTTGATGACTTCGAGGTCGAATGGGATTTGTTGGGAGAGGAATGGTCTCTTTTTGCCAATCTCAAACGATGGGTAAGTAATTCATATGTATGTTATACTGGTCTAGACCGATCATTTTGTTGTTGTGTTATAAATTTCATGTACCTTAAAACAACTTATCTAAAAGTAAAAAAAATCACAATTTCACCTCTAATTTTAATTACGAGTTCCCTAAATTGAAACGATTATTTTACATTGTGTGTGTGTGTGTCTGAACAGGACAAAATATTATGTTGATGAAATGTTGGGGTACTATGTCTATCTGCACGCTAACATGCAATCTATATGAAGTCAACAAAGGACTCACCCATCAATACACCCATGGATGGCAAATCCATATAGCTTTATTTTGTCATATCTGAAATTTGAAGAAAAAAAATTCACTGACAAAGAACTATTACAATATGATATTTCAGTCGGAAGTGTTTCTCAATACATAGATAAAAGAGAATACCCATCGACATGCCAGATTTGATTGGGTCCGATTGAATGGTAAATTCTCAGGATTCACCTCCTCCTTCTGATTTTAGTGCCTTCGGGGTCCAATTTCCTTAGTAATTTCATGACAACATCCCTATAGAAAAAAATCTTTGGATCGTGAAAAAGGCAAGAATAACCTTCATAAAAATTGCTGCAGGGGATTTTGAAAATAACGATAAGCAGATCAAACATCATCTGACATAATTGCTGTGTATAATTTAAGATTTCAGAAAAAAAAAATACTAGAAACTGATAACCAAATAAAACGTCACATAATACTCCGTATTATACTGTACATGTATATGCAGCATTGGAAAAAAAATGGTTTAAAGGTCGGTAAAAACGAAATATTTGAGCAGTATGTTAATGTTTTAGAAACCAGTTCATTTTTTAACTCTATCATAAGCCTTTTAATGCATTTTATCACCTATGCTAGTAGTCCGAAATATCTGACATTTTCCAAGATTTTGATATTTTACGTCTTGGCACGTAAAATATCAAAATCGTGAAAAAAAAAAAAAAACAACAAAACGTCAAATATTTCGGACTGCTATGCTAGTACCAATGGATGAATTCCAGGTGGGATATCTGCGTCCTTTTTTAACCTTATAAAACAAAAACTTTTCAAATTATCCGACATAACTATGTGTTGATACGTGACTACCCCTTTTCTCCTGCTTTTAGAGCAATACTACTATATTTTCGTCCATCAGTTTATTTTGCTTTATCACATGATTATTTAATTGCCCTTCTGCATCCTTCACATGGGTTTTATTATACTCAGGTGAACGTTAAGACTCTTGTTTGCTTATAAAAACACATTGCGTTTGTACGGTCATGATTTTCTAACGTATATTTTTGCAGCTGAAATTTTAAAAAAAACCTGTAGATGACCTATAGTTGAATATACTCTGGAAGAGTCGAGATTTCTTTCTTTCTTTTTTTTTGGGGGGGGGGGGGGCAATTGTTATTCTCGTATACTAGAAGAAAGAAAGCATTTAAGCATTTCTTGTCTATATATTTAAAATATAAATGTTGAATGAATAATTTTAAAAACGATACATAAAAATGAAAATGTAATGAAAGTACAATGGATGGACAAAGTATAAAGTTTTATTTACCTTTGGACGGCGTAAACTTTTCTTCGAAGAATGGATGTTAAAGATCTGTACCCAACAGTCTCGGGAAGATCAGGTAATAGATTCTGAGAAAAAAAAATGTGTTATGTCATTTTAACATATGATTATTGTTTTTTTTTCTTTCCACTTGTATACGTAATCACAATGTTGGTATTAACTTAGATGTGAAAATGATACCTTACGTAAAATCGTTTTTGATTTTGGATCGCTACCATCTAAACAAATTTTATTTTTCGAAAAGAAGTTGGATTGTCTGTAATAGTTAAGCAGTTAATGTTTCATTCATAACTTAGCATACTTTAATTTTACCTCTATAACTTGTTTGGTGACATTATGCGGCACACTTGATGTGTTCCGACGAGAAGGCACACCTAATCTTTTCAGTCGCTTGCCTGTTGCATTGACGCTGTTAAGTTAAATACACACTATTAAAAATAAACAAATAAAACCCAATACAGTGTATAACCAAAATTTGTAATAAATTTATTATTAATAAACAAAATATAAAAATTTAAAACATCTTACCTTATGTCTTTGTTTTTAAATTTCTGAAACAATTTTGATATTTCTTTATATGTAAAACCTTTGCTATTTAACACCAGAAGAGCATCTGCATCTAGAAATGAAAAATGAAGCAAATTTACTCCAGTATTTAAAAAGTTTCCAAGGAACGCATGTGTCGCCTGCTTTTCTTTAAATGCAAAAAAGAAGAGAAACACTGCGATAGAGTCTGTCAATCAAAAAATGATTACCAACTCTCAAATAGATAAACCTAAAAGTTGAACTCATTACAAATAATTATCAACACCCGCCACTCAAAATTCTAAAGCCTTATTTTAGATTAGATTGCCCGGGGTATTCTTTGTACAGTAGGTCAAAGGTCAACAAGTAAATTATAACGCTGGTAATCTCATAATGTTTTACGACAATCAGTGCACATGCAAAATAGCATAGAATTGCCCCTTAAATGTCAAAATTATGCTGTAAATTGGCACTTTTAACTTTTTAGTAAAGTAGGTCAAAGGACAAGGTCAAGGGTCAGTCAAGAGTCACGAGGTCGTTAGCCATGGGCATGGCAATTTTCAAATGCCATAGTGCCAGCAATAAATGTGCTAAATGTCAAGTCCATATCTCTTGCAGTTCTTGAGATACAAGGTGTGACAGACGGACAGACATAGCAGTATGAGTGCGAAAACTGATTTGAAATTTTGGTGTGAACGTTGTACACTTTACAAAAGCTATAAGAAAGCAGACAACGTAACGTGTACAAAACGCCTACATTACACCTAATTTAACTGTAGAGTGTCATGGCTGATATCGGCCATCGTAGATAATGAACAAAGACGTGGAATATTACTTCGCACTTCACGAGCCAGTCCAAGAACAAATTAGCATTTGAAAGTAGTGAACCGTATTATCAAAACATACGATAAATATTCGTAAGGCGAGTTTACCTATGGTGGCATATTTTTTTTTTTTAAAGGCCGAGGTTTTCAACCGGTCGGTTTTCCTCAGGTAAGTTTGGTGTGGGGTGGAGCTTAATTGAAACGGCTGTGAAGCCCCAATGGAACCAAGCTGGCTTGTGTATACCTACCTATATACACAGGATGTTACCTGTATATTACCTGTAAATATTTTCCTAAGACATAGTTTAACTTCGCGTGTTGCTCAATCGAAATGTTGATCGTCAAATTTATGAAATAAAACATGCTAAATTTTTTATGTAGACTGATTCCTTTAGTTCAATTCTTTTTTAAAAAATATGTTTGAATAAAGGAGACAATTTTAGTTTAATTTTGTGCGTTAATCAATTTCAAATCTTTGGTTGTAAGCTGACGACACCGAGGGAAATAGTCATTTGCAAAACGAAAGTAGAAAAAAGCGCGGTCCTGAATAAGTCTCTTAAACTTAGAAATCCTGTTTGAAGACTAAATTTGTAGAAAATATATAATAAATTAGGCAAACATTTTTTATATAATTCCTATGTGATTAACCCATGACGCATGTTTGAACAGTTTCGTAAAAATGGTCATGGCATCAGCGTATTGTTTCTCCGACAGTTTGACGAAACGGGAATATAGTCACTTTATCTTACTTTTTCCTCGGGATCCATAATTCTAAACATAACTTGCATATTCAATGACAGCTTTTATAATACTGCTTATTTCTCTTTAAAACTGGTTATTTTACCGTAACTTTCATCACCATGTCTCGGAGAAATATTACACGTCTTGAAATTTTTAACTTGGACAATATGACTATCTCATAGTTATAAAAAAGAAATTATTATTTTATTAAATTACATGATGCTTCCAATGCAGTTCGGTATTTTCTGTTGTAAGTAAAATCGATGTACGTGTAAATTTGGATAACCTATACTGCATTATAGATTGTACAGTGAAATGAATCCCCCTTTCTTAATTACAATTTAAATAGATATATGACTGACTCTCTTTTTCATTTATTTAATTGTCTGACAGACTGATTAAGTATAAATTATATATGGCTAATTACTTTATCATAAAGTAAAAAAAATAATATCAGTTCTGGCTGCTACTTTATCACGATGTTTTATATATGCGGTAGGCATCAAAGACTGGCTGTTAATTCAATAATCGGTACGATCCCCAGCCAAGGTATACAAGATATACACAACGGCAGGTAACAAAATGTCAATCAATTTTCAGTATCCAATCTCAGGCTTAATTTCATCTGATTGACAGGGGTTCACAGACCAGGTAAAATTGAGGGCGGTGCTTATTTCCTCCCCCTTTAATTATTATTTTTATTTTATTCAATTTGACAAAAACCACATGTGGCGCAAGTCATACATACAGTAAACAAATATATAGTCACACAGATTTTCTTATATTAAATGCATCACGTATGAGTTACAAATATTTCTTGTTGATTTAACGTCTGCTGGATTAAGAATTTCATAAGATATACATGTATCACCGTGTTTTGGGGACTGTAGTGATAACTAAGATTTCTAAACCTGAACAACAGGACAGGAGACAGTCTTTAAATTAAAGCTGTTTATTCGTGAATGTCCGTCGCAAAAGTGATCGGACAAAAACCCGATAGCGTCCCCTGTCCAGGTGTTGAGTTATTCTTGCCACTAATTGTTACAAAGGGGCGTTAATCTAAAAGGACTCATACTCGACATCAAACGGAAGATTAACAATAGGGCTTTAATTACGGCAAAATACAATTTAAGTAATTAAGAAAACAAAGTTCCATTTGCGGAAAACTAAGAAAAGCACAGATTTTACACGAAAGGATGACACTAATTGATTTCATAACTTTTCTCAAGAAAACTGACAAAGGGCCTCAAGCTATTATTTCTTCTAAATCCAAAGCCATGAATTTAATTGCAGTAAATAAAAATACCAACTGGTAAATAAAAATTAATGAAATAAAAATAATTTGAAATTGATAATAAATTTATACTAAAAAAATATCAGAGGGTCGATTTTACACTATGATAATTCCCTCTTGGTCAGAAAAATCTTTGTCCTCAAAGATAAAAATGAAAAATATCCTACATAAGTGGCAAGCTCGTAGATAATAAAAGTAATGTGTCAATTTTTTTTTAAAAGACTTGTATAGAGGATGTGCCACGTGACACTGAGCCGAGAGGACGTGTTTTGTCGACGCTCCGTGTGTTTTGGCTTTTTTTGGGAAGTTTAGACAGTTTTGTGGTGAATTTTTATTCCTACACTTTTCCTATGCTTCCTACGCTTTTGTATATATATTTTTTTCTTTGATGTTCGTGATTTTGGTGGATTTATTTAAATGAATGTTTAGTTCTTTAACCTGTGAGTACCTTGTGAGTAGTGATCAGTTATTACATTGAACATTCGCTAGCTATCCTACTGAACGGTCACTCATGTGTACGGCTTAACGGTCCTTTAACTAGCCCAATCTAGCCCTAAGGCCTGACCGTTATTTCTTTAAATGTGAAAAAAAATGGAGCTACTTAAGCCTATTTATTTCAAAGACAAAGAACTCAAAGTGAACCTAACGAAAGGTGTTGACCGAATATCAGATTATGAATTATCTGTTGAAGCTAGCAAAATTGTATCAGATATTCTCTGTATTCAAAAAGACAGGGATCTTTGGCGGGTTTATGTCAAATCATTAGAGAGCAGATCAAAACTTCTTCAAGAAGGTCTTGATGTAAGAAACAAACACATTAATGTTTATGACTACAACCCTTTCTCCGCAGGAATCAAAGATCCATCTGAACAGGTATTAAAGATAACTGTCAAAGGTGTCCCGCTGTCAGTAGATGATGATGAAATTATGAAAATGTTAAACCAATTTGATCTTAATTTCACAAGTGACTTGAAGTTTGAAAAAATAAGACATCCTGAAACAAGGAAAATGACCGAGATCTTGAATGGAAATCGCTTTATCTATGTTAGAGCGCTCCCTGAAGGCAAATTTCTACCCCGAACATGTAGATGTGCTGGCTTGCAGTGTTCCATCTACCACTACGGACAGCCATCTAATAAGCGTACTCCACAATGTACAAATTGCTGGGAAGTATCCCACTATAAGCGAGACTGTCCTAATCAACCTAGATGTAAAGCATGCAAGAAGGAAGGACATTCCCCGGGAGATGAGATATGTGACCAGTACACAGAGCCTTTGCCCAAAGTTGTCTCGTTTGCAGGAGCTTCAGATATACTGTCGAACTTCTATCCTTGCGAAATTAAGGCTTTCGGTGTTCAACACAAATCATCTGAACACGCTTTTCAATATGTGAAGGCTATAAGAAGCGGAGATATACCCAGGGCCAACGCTATCCAGTCTGCGTCTTCTGCTCTTGATGCAAAACGGATTGGTAAGATGATTTCGCCCTCTGACAGCTTCGAATCTAACAAAGTTGCTCTGATGACCGAGCAGTGAGATAAGCTCTCAAGGTGACCAGACGTGTTTTTCAATGCTCCTTCTTATCAGTAATTACCTATGCTGCTGATCATGGTAAATAATGGAATCAAGTAATCTGAATGAAAATACAAGTCTGTTCAAATCTATTTTGGATACTTTTGGAGTTTCATTTTCACAAGGAAATTCCAATGCTGATGATGAAGATTCCTTAATTGATGTACCAGATTTCTTACGAGTGAAATTCAATCAACAGAGCATTACTTTGAACTATGATGAGGATAAGTCTGAAGACATTGTGACCATTCTAAACAATGACCTTTTGTTTACCAAAACTGGTTTTAAAAATGGAAATATCTATAAATCAAGAAATGGCAATGTTACGGCTACACTATACAAATCAACTCAAACAATCCATGTCCAAGGGAGTGAAAGATCTACTTGGCTTAGAGAATTCATTGGACAAATTCCTCATCTGCCAATAACTGAGGTTAGTAAAATTGAAGGGATGCTTGAGCCACAAAATACCTCCACCCCTAAACCTTCTAAATTACAAGATATGGAAAGCAGACCATGTCAGAACTGCAACAGCTTTCAAATTATTCAAAAACTGACACAGTCTGTTACTGATCTCTCTGAGGAAGTTGCCAGATTGAAAATGGAGTTACATACTCTTCAAATTAATAACACTCATTCAGTAGATGCAACTACTCAAACAAGGGAACCACTTATGAAAACTAAAGCTGTTGATACACGGGACATTAAGGATACCAAAGTACAAGGCATGTCAAGACATACACAGTGTACTAGAGTGGAGACGAGGGAATCATCAACTTCCCCAGAAACCATGTCAGCTCAAAGAGAGCAGAAAACTTTCAACAGACAAAAGAACCAACAACTGGTGACTGACGTTCCATCCGGAAAGTCTGTACTTGTAATAGGAAGTTCAATCCTCCAGCGAATCCGAACCCGTGGATTACTGAGAAATGTTGCGGTCCGTACAAACCGAGGGGCTCGGCTGTCTGATATCAGACGGATTCTTCAGGGAATTGACCTAACACCCTTCCGGTCAATCATCATCCTTGCTGGTGGAAATGCTGCCAGCAACAGAGAAATTGAGAGCAGTGATTGTGATCTTACCGAAATTGTGCTTGACATCCAGAGGAGATCACCATGTACTGAAATTTTTATCTCGGAAATTCCACCACGAAGAGATGCAAATGTTTCCCACATGAATGAAATAATTAAATTTGTTTGTGAGGAATACAGTGTGAATATTATCTCATTCCGAAATATGTTCCAATCTTCGGATCTGTTCTGGAAGGATGGAATTCATTTATCTGACAAGGGAACATCGACTCTCCTGAAAGCCTACGATGCTCACGTTCCGATCATTAAAGCGCGACGTTTAAATGACACACAAAGTATGCCTGGAAATATGAACGTGTGTTTCTACTGTGGTGAGACTGGCCACTCATCTCAGAATTGTCAACACGGATATCAGATCGTCTGCTGGAACTGCAACTCCCCGGGTCACAAAGTAAAACACTGTTCTTATTAGGAATTCGGCAAAGAGGAAAATGCCGAACGACCTACCCCCTTAAAATCAAACCCTTTTAGTGTTCTAAACAATCTTTGTGGTGAATGTGGTGAAATTTCATGCAAATGTTCATATATCTGTAGTGTATACAATACCAATGACCCATCAGTAGGATCGGTTCTAGCTAATAGCTTTATGTTTCCTGCGCAGTCAATTAGTAACTATGATGTAAATTCTGTCAAAAAAGTATTTCATAAGAAACCTTGTACATCCTCGATTACTAGTTCATCAAAACAAAATTCTAATTCAAAAATTTCTGAAAATAATGATCAATCACGAAAGTCAACTTCAAATAAATATTTAAATAATTTTGGACTCATCAAGAAAGGTCTTAGATTTGGGAATGTAAATATATGTCATATCTTGCCTAAAATTGACCAACTTAAGATTCTTTTATCAGGATATCGCTCCATGGATGTATTTGGTATCTGTGAAACATTTTTAAATGAGCAAACAGACAACTGTGAATTAGATATTGAAGGATTTAATTTTGAGAGAAAGGATAGATTATTGAAATCAGGGGGAGGATTAATAGTTTATGTTTCCAATAATTTGCATTACAAACGTCGAAATGATTTTGAAGTAGGTAACATTGAAACAATATGGCTTGAAATTAA